GACCTCTGGAAGCTCCACCTCCTTCCCAGTGATTGGTCCCATTGGCTGAGGCACAAGCCAATGGTTCTCTCCAGGACAGCACTAATTCCTGCTCTCCCACTGGTCCCCAGAGACTGTGAGTCTTTTCTTATTGGCCAGGGTGGAAGTCCATGGCCTGGCGGGACAGAGCATAATAACTGCAAACTGTGAACATGTCAGTGGTGGTTGCTCTGAAATCAAAACTAATCTGCTTTTTCTTCTCCAGGGTGACTCAGGGGGACCACTGATGTGCAAAGGTACCCTGCAAGGCCTGGTGTCCTGGGGAACTTTCCCTTGTGGCCAACCCAATGACCCAGGTGTCTATACCCAAGTCTGCAAGTACGTCAAGTGGATAAATGAGACCATGAGAAGGCATAGCTAACCTCTGCATACCTTCCATCTCTTCATCCATACGCCTCGAACAAGAAATATACAGAAATAAGGACGTGATGAACTGTAGTCATATTTGACTTTACCTTTCCTCAAAGACATTGCAACCTCAACAATATGCCATGTGTGTAAACCAATCAAATTAACAAAGACCTAGGACACAAAAACCTCAGTGTTGGTAAAGACCAACAGGCTCAAACAGTGGAATTGTAAATTGTAAATTTATGGAAGGCCATTTGGCAAGTTGATTGAGACCCTTAGTTACCACCATTGACCCTGTGATTCTAGTTTAGAAAGGTATTACTAAAAACATAAAAAATCCAAGTGTGGCACAAGGTTTGAATTCATCACATTATCATAGCAAAACAGTGGAAACACTGAACATGTCCCTAATTAGTGGATTGTTTAGGTCAACAATAGGCATATTTGGGACAAGGATATTAGGAAGCTGTTAAGGATAATGACTTTGCAGAATTGCTAGTGTTATGCAAGAATGTTTGTGTTGTGTGATGGAACATGAAAAAAGAAAGATGCAAATATATGTATGGGAGTCTAACCATGTAAAATGAAATAATCACAAAATAAAATCTGAAAAGAAATGGCATGCAGTTGGTCATTATGGGATGTCTCCTTCCTTCCATTTATTTTCTGTGGGTGTGCACTTTTGCAACATGAAAACAAAGCTGGAAAAGCTCTGAAGATCTAAGACTGGAGAGGAGGGACCCTTAAGAGAGGGAGACACATCTGATATTGAGCCCTCACCCTGCTCCCTGCCTAATGATCTGTTTCTATCCATTTCTCAGATTTTACTTTTCCTCATCTATAAAATAGGAGAGAAAGAGAGAGCAAGAAAAGGTCAAGAGGGAAGAAAGAAAGGCTGAGGGAAGAGAGAATAAGCCTACCTCATTGGGGTGGAAAGGATGTGATAAGTGTTCCTGAGTATTTCACAGGTGGCAAACCAGGAGAGAAACAGGTTTTCCGGAAGGATAAGGCTGGTAGGTGGATGGGACCCCTGAGGCCCCCCAAAGCACACCCCCCAAAGTGAGCAGCCAGCATCCCAGGTGCCAGAGGAAGATGGGGGTGGGAATCTGGGTTGGTGGGCTCCTTTTTTCAAAGTAGGCAGGGAAGGGGCCTCTGGAAGGGAAGAGGGAGGAGTCCCCTGTGACTCAGAGCCTGGCCATGCCCCTGGCTTCCTGCCATCAAAGGCTCCCTGGGCAATCACACCTCAGACGCTGCTGACAGAGGGATCCTCTCCAGCTGAAAGCTCTCCCTCCTGTCTTTCCAGTTTCTCCCCCAGAATTCTCAGCCACTGTCCTCCAGATCCTTCCTCTCTTCATCTCATCTCCCTAGCAAGTCTCTCCTAGCCCCCAACTCCTCTGCTCTTCCCCATATCACAGAAAACATAGGCACAAAACACAGGAGTCCAGACCCCCTCAGACCCTACAAGCTATTTGCAAATGACTTCCCCATTCCTCTTCCTTTATCCTTGAAGTGAGAGAAATAACACCTATATCCCAGATCTGTTACGAATATTAAATAAACTTAATATTCAGAAAGTTCTAGAACATTGCCTTCCATGGAATAAGCCATCAATTGAAGCCATGTTAGTTCTTACTGTCTAATTTCTGGCAGCTTTTCCCTTGCTTACACTCTCCAAGTTTTATTGTAACACATTTTCTTTATTGAAGACTTTTGCACAGCACGCAATTTGGAGAAAAATACCCTGTACATAAGCATGTGTGGCATGCGGAGAGAGAAGAATCTTAACTGGCAGATGCCTGCAGTTGGGAACTTCATTCTCTCTCTCCTAGAGGCTCTTAGAGCTGGAACTCCTCACCGCCTATCATCCCCCTCCTTTCCCATGAGAGACTCTTAACAACTCCCCCCAAGCCCTACTATCCCCTAACGGGGTAAGGTACATCCAGTGGGAGGGCCAAAATGTGGGCCATGTTCACTGCCATGTCAGACATCGAATCCCAATCCAAAAGGTTCCACCATTTCCTAGGTGTTGGATGTTGAGTAATTAACTTCCTTCTCTTAGCCTCAGTTTCTTTTCGGTAAAATGGGAGTGGGTGTAATGAAGTCATTTAATCATTTGGTCAACATTTCCTAAGTCTTCCTCTGGGCCAGGTCCTGTGAGGGCACTTGGGACACACGGGTGAGTCAACCTCAGTGCCTGCCCTCAAGGTGCTCATGATCCAGTGGGGGAGGGGGACATGGATCCAGATGCTTGCGGTCCAGGGTGACCTGAGGGAGGCACCTGCTGTGGGAACCTAGGTGAGAGAGTGACTAACCCAACTGCAGGGGGTGGAAGTTGAAAGGTGTTCAGGGAAGGCTTCCTGAAGGAGGTGATGTCTAAGCAAAGACTTGAAAGACAAGTTGTGGGTAGGGGAAGGTGGGAAGAGCATTTGGAGAGGGGAAATAGCATGGGTGAGGGCCCAGAGGTGAAAGAGCAATCTTCATGTCTGGAGCACGAGACCTGTGAGCAGAGCTGGGCTGTGAAATGTGACAGCCACTCACCACAGTGGTTCCTGACTTGTGAAATGTGGCGAGTTCCAACTGAGATGTGCTGTAAGGGGAAGACACATCAGATTCCAAACACTTACCATGCAAAAAATATGAAGGCAAACTATCATTAAAAATATTCTTATTTTGATTTCACATGGCAATACTAGGTGTATTGGGTTAAATGAAATATTAAAATGAACTTCTGTTTCTTTTTACTATTTATTTATAGTTTTTAATTCTTTTTTTTTATTTTAGAGAGAGCAAGCAAGGGAGAGGGGCAGAAGGAGGGAGCGAGAGAGAGGAGAAATCTTAAGGGAGACTCTATGCTCATCACAGAACTCAATGCAGGGCTTCATCCCAGGACTCTGGGATTGTGACTTGAGCTAATATCAAGAATTGGATGCTCAACTGGCTGAGCCACACCTAGGTGTCCCTTTTTTACTCTTTTAAAAAACTTATAGCTACTAGAAAATTTAAAAGTGCATGTGTACTTGGCATTATATTTCTATTGATCTGCATTGCATTGGATGCTGAAGATTCCTCCAACACCCAGATGAGGGGCTGGGACTTTGTCCTAGGGGTGATGAGGGAGCCAGAGCAGGGCTAATGAGCAGGAGAGGGGCAGGGCCAGCTGGGGGTACAGGGAGACCCCTCTGGAGTAAAGGGAAAGATACAGAGAAGGAGTAAGAGCCCAGGTAGATGATCCAGGTGGGAAAGAAGTGGGTCTGAGCTGGGGTCAGGGGCATGGGGATAGAGAGGAGGGGCCAAGAGAGAAAGAGGGTGGTGGGCCGGGTTGTGCGAGATCCAGCAGGCTGTCAGGGAGGATGGTGGGTTCTGAGAAGATGCTGAGTTCAGTGGGAACATGGGTATGAAGGGCCTGGGGGAGGTTGGGGGCACGGGAGCAGCCTAAGAATATTTTGGTTTTTTTTTTTTATGTTTTATTTATTTCTAGGAGAGAGAGAGAGAGACAGCATGAGCAGGGGAAGGTCAGAGAGAGAGGGAGTCACAGACTGAAACAGGCTCCAGGCTCTGAGCTAGCAGTCAGCACAGAGCCCGACGCGGGGCTCGAACCCACGAACCGCGAGATCATGACCTAAGCGAAAGTCGGACGCTTAACCGACCAAGCCACCCAGGCGCCCCAGCCTAAGAATATTTTGAATGTCAAGCGTTGACTTTCATCCTCCAACGCCCAAGCTGGTGCTGAGGTGGACATTGCTGATATCAGTTGTCACCGTGTCTAGTGATCTCCCCACAAGCCCTCATTTTCCTTCTCATGCCCTGTGCTCATCACATCCATCTTTAGTTCCCTCCCCAAGGCCACACTCCTGTTCCCCACCCCACACCCACCACAAGCCAGGCCTCCACGCCCTCCTCCTGACCAACACTGAGCGCGACTTTCAAGGCCCAGCTTCAAAGCACCTCCTCACATCCCTCTAGATCCTTCCGCAGCATCCGAGGCCCCCATTTCACACTCCCACATCCCTCTCACATTTTCTTGCATCCCTGCTTATTTCCAAGCCTCTCCCTATATGTTGAATTTCATCATAAACCCTCCTGTCTCCTAGCTTCCCTGCTCCCCATCACCCTTCTGGCTCTGTCTGGGGAACTAACCCACATGGGCAGGGGCAGGGGGTCTCCTGGAAATGCAGGGGAAGCCAGGGGAGGATAAGCAGACCGAGATGTGTCAACAAAGACTCGGAGAATAGGGAGAAAGAATAGGACAGAGATCCAGAGAAAAAGATGGGAAAGAGACAGAGGAAACACAGGAAAACCCAGAGAAAGAGACGGATGTGTCCCAACCATGGCCGGGGGGACAGAGGTGGACAGTGAGACCTCAGAGGTGGGCAAGTCTGGAGCGGGGGGTCAGGAGGGTCAGAAGTTCTCACATCCGGGCAGAGGTGGGTGGACAATCAAAGGACAGCAACAGGACTGTCAGACAGGGACAAAGGGAAGCTGTTGACACAGCCGCCCGCCTGCCCGGAAGAGAGGTTGAGAAACGGAGCTGCTGGGAGCATGGCACTGGGTGCTGGGGGTGGACAAAGCCCGATTGTTCGAGGCCCCTTTCCCCACAGTGCCTGGGCCTGCGCCCCAGCCCAGGGCAGAGGCGGATGCCAGCTTGGTGACACATGCTTTCTCACTGGCTTGCTGATTACGGTGGGGACACGGAGGTCGTCAGCACCCACAGAGGGACTTACGGGCAGGTGCGTGAATCACCCTAACCCCACTGACCCACGTGGCCTGGTTTTCAGTGCCTGACAGCAGCGATCCGGGAGCGACGGCCTGCAGGCCAGGGGGCACGGTTTGCTCCCCTGGGCGTTAGAATTTGGGTCCTCAGACATCTTCCTGCTCAAGGACCTAGAAGTCTAGGGAGTGAGGAGAACAAGTTCCCATCTTTCCTCCTTGAGACTCAAAAGTGCAGGTACCCAGGCCCTTCTCCTAAAGGTCTAGAACTCTAGGCACCCCTCCCCCCCTCCTCAGACCCTGGAGTCCAGGCCCCCAATTCACTCAGGGGCTGTTGTTCCCTTCCGTGGAAGCCCGGTCAGGGGCCATCAGGAGCAGAGGCAGGGGACATGGGGATGGAAGGAATGTGTGTGGGAAGTCGGGGTGAGGAGGAAAGGGTGGGGCGGCCTCCAGCCTCAGGGACCTGGGCAGACAGGGGTTAAAAGGAAGCACCAGGAGTGTCTGAGGACAGGAACAGCCTCTTCCAGGGAGGCCAGGAAGCCCGGGTGTCTGTCTGGCCTGGGCCCCACAGCCCATACGTCCTCTGCTGTCTGCCCCTCTGGCTCTGGCTCTGAGGCATTCTCTCTGCTCTCAGTGTCCCGTCTCTCCCCGTAACACCCTGCATTTCTGAGTCTCTCTGCCTCTTTGTCTATCTGCCTGTGCACGTGCTGTCCCTGCTCCAACCCAAGAACCCCTCGGCCAGGAGTCCTCTGGACCCCCACGTAGCTGGCCCCCAGCAGGTAAGATCACTCTGCACCCCAGAACTTCCAGGTGTGGGGTGAGCGACAGGGTGAGCACAGAGCCGAGGTGCAGAAGAAAAATCCCATGGGGAAGGAGGAAGTCCAGGGCTGCTCTGGAGCCAGCCCTTCTGTAGGCCGCCAGGCACACTGGAGCCCAGAGGAGCAAGAGACTAAACGAGAACCACACTGTGAGCTGCCCACCACCACATGCAGTTCCGGCTTCTCAGTCCACCTGCCTTCGTGGGTCCCCAGGATGGAAGACGTGGTTAGAGTGACAAGAAATCAGGAGGCTAAGTGAGGACAGATGTCAAGGGTCAGAAGAGCATGCAGGCCGGAGTGTGGGAGGTGGCAGAGGGATGGAGAAAGGGCCTTTGGGGGGTTAGTCTGAGACAGAGGCTAAGGATCATTTGACTTCCCTTCTCAGGAACGGGCATGAAGACGCTGACAGTAGCACTGATCTTGATGGCCACAGGTGGGAAGAAAGGGGACAGGATGGGGCAGTTTGGGGGGTGCCATGGGGGCTGCTGATGGGAAGGAGTTTAAGGGTGTGGATGGGCTTTGCACAGACATGGAGGTGGGGTGGGCTTGGAGTGAGGAGGGAGTCGGGGACATGGTTAAGGATGGGGAGACGCAGATAGGAAGGGGAGTGGGAGGTGGTCTGGAAGACAGAGAAGAGTTTGAGGGTGGGGGTGGGAAGGAGGTGACCTGGAACACGGGGACAGCATTGAGGTTCACCATGGGGGATTCACCTGGTGTCTCCAGGCCTCCTCCCTGAATCAGACTTTTCCTCTCTCAGCCTGGGCGGAGGAGCAGAATAAGGTCCTGCATGGCGGACCCTGTGAGCAGACGTCTCACCCCTACCAAGCTGCCCTCTACACGTTGGGCCACTTGCTCTGCGGAGGGGTCCTCATTCACCCGCAGTGGGTCCTCACCGCTGCCCACTGCAAAAAGCCGTGAGTTCTCCACGCCGGGAGTGAGGAGTGGTTGCACTGAGGCCTCGATGGGGTGGGGGTGGGGGGTTGTGCAGATTTCAGGCACAAAGTGACACACATCCCCTGTCCCAGCACAAGGCCACCTGGAAACCAGGCTCATCTGGCCAGTATTTAACTGTGCATTAAATATCTGTCTGGGGCCCTGGGGATACAGCAGTGAAGGAGACAAGCAAAATTGCTGCTTTTATGAACAGACCTTCTAATTGGGGATCAGATCATGCAGGGCCCTGTAGGCAGTGATGGAGAATTGGATTTCATTCCTAGTGCAGTGAGAAGCCAGTGGAGAATTTCATTCAGGGAAGCAGCATGATTTGATTCACATTAAAAATATGTATTTATTTATTTTTGGGAGAGTGCAAACAAGGGAAGGGCAAAGTATCCAAAGCAGGCTCTACACTGACGGGCTGACAGCAGTGAGCCCGACGCGGGGCTGGAACCCACGAACCGTGAGATCATGACCTGAGCTGAAGTCAGACGCTCAACTGACTGAGCCACCCAGGTGCCCCTGATTTTCATTTCTTAAGAGCATGCCAGCCACGCTATGGAAAGTGGGCTGGGCAAGGAGAAATGAAGGGATGTGCATAGATTGACCTGAGGATGGTGGCTTGGACCAGCGTGGTGGCAGTGGGGATGGAGGAGAGGCAGAAAGCTTGGGAGGTATTTGAGACTGAGCCAACAGGACTTGGTGATGTGGAATGGAAGAAGCAGGGCTGACCTCCAGGTATTTGACTCAAACAAGTGGGTGTTTTGTGGTGTTTCTCTGAGTCAGGGGAGAGGGAAAGAGGGCCAGTTTGGATATGGGCTGAGGAGTGTCAGACATTTTGCTTTAGCCATGGTGATTTGGAGGTACCAGGGAGAAGTCCAAGAAGCATGAAGGTAAGCCGCTGGTGCTCAGGTGATAGATCAGAGCTGGAGATAAACGTGAAGGTGTCATCACAAATAAATGGTATTTAAACACGGGGTGGGATGAGATCACCCAAAAAGCAGGCATAGGTAGAAAAGCATAGAGGGCCCAAGACCAATCCTCAGGGCACAAATGACCACCAGTTAGATTAACAGTTGCCATTTTGTTCAACACTAACTATGGACCAGGTGCTGAAGTAAGTAGTATATATCTGTTTTCCGTTATATCCACAATAAGGGACTCTTTGCCCTATTTTGGAGATGAGGACACTGAGACTCAGAGAAATAGTAAGTGGCAATTCAAGTGTTTGGAAACCAACAAGTGCCACTCCCCACTGTAGGGGGAGAGGTTTAATCATGCAAGGTTATGGACTCAAGGGTCCTCAGGCTCAAGCATTGTGCTCACCATTCTCATTCATCCATTTGGTGCACATTGATCAAAGCATCTACTAAGAGCCAGATTTGAGCAGGGCAGTGGGGATTCAGCAGTGGATGAGAGAAATACAGAATCTCTACTTTTGGGAATGCAGGAGCAGAAAGACACAGAAAGTTATTTAACAAACAAGCCCATCAAAAATCATATAATTAAAAATTACCCTATGTCCAGTGAAGGAAAAGAACAGGGAAGGTTCCTTGAGAGAAAAGAACAGAAGTACCCACTTTAGATGGAGGAGGGTGTCAGGAAGGACCTTCTAATGAGATGAAGTTCAAGCTGAAGCATGGGAAATGAGCAAGGGTAGACAAATGAAGAGGCAGGGAAGAACATTCAGAGAAGCAGAAATGCAAAGAAAAAGTCCTTGAGCTGGAAACAGTCTGGAGTGCTCTAAGAAATTTACCGTTCATAGTGGGGTCGAGGATGGTAGAAGGAATTTTACTCCAAGGGCAATGGGGAGCCATGAGACAATTTTGAGCAAGGGAGTGACTCTTTGATTCATTTCACAAATACTCATTGTTTATCTAGCATAAATATCATAGACACAGGTCTAGGCACTGAGGATGCTGTATCTGAACAAAACAAAAACCCCATTTGATATTCTAGAGCTGTGCCACTTAATGTGGTAGCCACAAATGGCCAATTAAATTTACATTAAGAAAAATGCAATAAGGGGTGCATGGGTGGCTCAGTTGGTTAGGCATCTGACTTCAGCTCAGGTCATGATCTCATGGTTCGTGGGTTAGAGCCCCATGTCGGGCTCTGTGCTGGTAGCTCAGAGGCTGGAGCCTGCTTCAGATTCTGTGTCTCCCTCTCTCTCTGACCCTCCCCTGCTCACACTGTCCCTCTCTCTCAGAAATAAAACATTAAAAATTTAAAAAAAAAAACAAGAAAAATGCAATAAGATGACAAACCTAGGAGCCACATGTCAAGTGCTCAGTAGCCACTTGTGTCTAGTGGCCACCATATCAAACAACTGCATGCCTGGGAAAGTTCTATTGGACAGTGCTACTATGGTAGGAAGAGAGAAAATAAAACAAGTAAATATTTAACACTACAGATATAGTATATCAGATGGTGATGGTAGGTTCTCTGGTGGCAAAGAAAGAGAAATAGGACTTGCCTACTAAGATGGATATTTGCATTTAAATTGGCTTATCAGTGAAGGCCTCACTGAGAAGGTGGCATTTGAAAGAGGTGTGGGAGGGAGCTATGCAGGTATGTGGGGGGAAGAGTTGTTGGCAGAAGAAGCAGCCAGTGCAAAGACCCTGGGATGATAAGATGACTGCTGTGTTCAAGGAAAGGCAGGGAAGCAAGTGTGGCTGGAGCAGGAGAGAGGGTAAGAGTGGGCTGAGGTGATATCTGAGATGTGATGAGGGTAGGATGCACAAAACCTTGTGGGTTAGGGTGAAAACTTCAGCCTTTACTCTGAATGAGATGGGAGTCATGCATGGGAGGAGTCTGAGCAGAGGAGGGACAGGGTGAGGCAGGATATTTTATGTTGTTAAAATTTATCTGGTTGTTTTGTGGAGGATAGACTGTGAAGGGGCAAAGGCAGAAACAAGGAGTCCAGTGAGGTGGCTACTGCCATTGCTCCAGTAAGAGATGATGGCTCCAGACCAAGATGGTAGCAGTGGGGGTGAGAAGTGGTCACATCCTGGATATACTTTGGAGATCCAAAAGGATTTCTGGGAAGCTTTTATGTGAGGCATAAAATAAAGAGAGTCAGGAATAGTCTCCAAAGTTATTATGGAAGGATGAAGTTGTCATTTTCTGAGCTGGGAGGGCCAGATGGTTCATGGTGCACCAGGCCACCCTCTCCTGCCATCACAGACCCCTCCGGAGTCTCAGCTGCAACCCAAGGGCTCCAGGTAAGACCCAGCCCTCCTCTTTCCCAGGAATCTTCAGGTCTACCTGGGGAAGCACAACCTTCAGCAAAGGGAGAGTTTCCAGGAGCAGAGCTCTGTTGTCCGGGCTGTGCCCCACCCTGGCTACAATGCTGCCACTCATGACCAGGACATCATGCTGTTACGCCTGGCTCACCCAGCCAAATTCTCTGAACGCATTCAGCCCCTCCCCCTGGAGAAAGACTGCTCGGCCAACCACACCAGCTGCCACATCCTAGGCTGGGGCAAGACAGCTGATGGTCAGTAGGGGGAGGGTGATGGGGAAGGAGACCAATGGGTGCCAGTCTATGGAGGAGGTGGGATAATCATGAAAACTGATGGGGCAGTGTGTCAATGTGTGAAAGGTCAATGGGAAGGGGAGGAAATATGGGAGTAGGATGAATGAGTGAATAGCCAGTGGAGAAAGTAGACTCATGAATGAATGATATGGAGAAATGGGCCAATGAAAAAGGAGGGTCAGTGGGAAAATTCTAATCAAGGAGGTAAATGATCAAAAGAAACCAATCAGGACACACAGATAATCAGGAAGAGATAAATGGAGGATGGACTAATGGAAGAAGAGGTATCAATAAAGCAGGGCAGCGAACTGAAAGACATAAATTGAGAGTGCAAATGGGGTAGAGAATGATAATGGAGAGGAACCAACTGAGCGAGGGTCAGTGGTCAAGACGAATCACTAGAGAAAGGACTAGGGGAGGAACAAGTCTAGTAGGTCAACAGGAACCATTGAAGGTGGACTGGCCTGTGAGTAAAGGGCCAAAAAGGGAAGGTGGACCATTGGATGAAGGGCCAATAGGAAGGGAGAGCCAATGGAGAGGAAATGAGACCAGTTAGGAAAGGACCACGGTCAAATGTTGGCCAATCAATGGAAAGAAGGGCCCAATGAATGAGGAAAGGGTGAAAGAAGGACTAACGGAAGAATAGAGTCTAATGGCTGCCTGCAACTACTGAAAAAGATGAGATCAATGAAAGGGAAGAGGAGAGGCAGAACCTCAGAGAAGGGGAAAGCCAATAAGAAATGAGGATTCCCAGAGAAGGGACAACTAATAAGGAAGATGGGCCAATGAGAGGAAAGAATGATGTAAAGAGGGACCAATCAGGAGTCAGGGCCAGTGGAAATGGGTTTTTATGAAAGAAAGACAAATAGGAAGAAGGGAACCAGTGGGAAATAAGGACCATTAGGGGAGAGGTGACTTGTAGGGGTTGGAAGATCGCTGGTGAGGACGTGAGAAGGACAGGTTGTGAGGTGAGCCTGGCCCATTTCTCTCTGCAGGTGGTTTCCCTAACACCATCCAGTGTGCATACATCCATCTGGTGTCCCATGAGGAGTGTGAGCATGCCTACCCCAGCCAGATCACCCAGAACATGGTGTGCGCCGGGGATGAAAAGTACGGGAAGGATTCCTGCCAGGTGAGGCCACCGGGACCTGCTAGTTACCTAGCCAAGAGCAGAGACAGAAGGAAAAAGATACTTTACAGGAAGAAGGAGAACTAGAGCTTTACATGCTGGGAGAGAATCCCAGGGAGAGAGTCTTAAGCTGATACTCAAAGACACATCCAGGAACAGGCAGAGATGTAAAGACAGCCAGTAGAGACAAGGATGGAAACAGAGAGATCAAGAACCAGAGAGACACAGTAAGGAGGCAGATGGTGGGGCGCCCGGGTGGCTTAGTCGGTTAAGCGTCTGACTTTCGCTCAGGTCATGATCTCGCGGTTCGTGGGTTCGCGCCCCGCGTCGGGCTCTGTGCTGACAGCCAGCTCGGAGCCTGGAGCCTGTTTCAGAGTCTGTGACTCCCTCTCTCTCTGACCCTCCCCTGCTCATGCTGTCTCTCTCTCTCTCTCTCTCCTCGAAATAAATAAATAAAACATTAAAAAAAAAAAAAAGGAGGCAGATGGTGTGAGGGGACCATCCTTCCTCAAACAGCCCCTACAAGTCCTGTTCGGACATTGCCGAGCTCGGGAGGTGGGCAGACCACAGCTGCAGAGAGATAGGGCTCACCCCCATTCCCAAATACCTCCTTTAACTTGGGATTTTGTTTTCCCCATCATTCATCAGATTTCTCCTATTTATGGCAAAATTTACCCAGTGCATTGAGGGACATGAAGAGACCAGTTAAGAAGGAAAAAGAGACAGAGATAGAGAAAGTGATACACGGCTAGTTGGACACAAAGAAAGGGCAATCAGACAGACTCCATTTCCAAAACTGTCTTTTCTCTCCCCAGTTTTGTTGACATGCGTACATATCAGCATGCAAACATCATTGTAGAAGTTTCCAGTGTATAGCATAGTGTTTGACTTCCATATATTGTGGAATGATTATGGCAGTCAGTTAACTTAGCACCCATTATCCCCTGTGGATTCAATAAAAAGAGAAAAGAAGAAGAAGGAGAAGGAGAGAAAGAAGAGAAAGAAGAGAGAGAAAGAAAGAAAGAAAGAAAGAAAGAAAGAAAGAAAGAAAGAAAGAAAGAAAGAAAGAAAGAAAGAAAGAAAGAAAGAAAGGAGGGAGGGAGGAAGGAAGGAAATAAGGAAGGAAGGAAAGAAAGAAAGGAAAGGAAAAAAGAAAAGAAAGTGTTTTATTCCTTGTGAGAACTCTTAGGATGTTCTCTCTTGAAAACCTTCCTGGATATCACAAACCAGTGTTGACTATAGTCATCATGCTGTGTATTACTTCCCATTACTTACTTATCTTGTAACTGAAGGTTTGTATGTCTTCTCTTTAGATCTCTCTTTTGCTGTCTCTTTACATGTGTGTTTACATATATAAACATAAATATTATATGAATAGACTTATAGAAATATGAGTATTTAATAGAATATAAATATAAATGTAAAATCATGCATGCAATAGGTTTTGTGATATATATATATATCTCGCCACATCACTCTGCACCTCTGCCTTTCTCCATACCCTTCAGTCTCTGTTCCTAACCTTTATTCTTTTTCTTTCTCTTCCCTCAATGCCTTTCTGGATCTTGGGATTATCTCTGTTTATCCACGTTTGAGTCTCCCTCAGTGCTATTTTCCTGTCTGTGACTTTGTGTGTGTGTATGTCTGTCTGCCTCTCTCTCTGTCCCTAAGTCTATCCATCTCTGAATGTCTCTCCCTCTCCCTCTCTCTCTTTCTCTACGTGTCTCTGTGTGACCTTCTGGTCTCTCTGTCTTTTTTTTAAAGATTTTATTTATTTATTTATTTATTTATTTATTTATTTATTTATGAGAGACAGACAGAAGCGGGGCTCGTGGTTTTTGTTTTTTTTTTTTTTTTTACAAATAGTTTATTGTCAAATTAGTTTCTACATAACACTCAGTGCTCATCCCCAAAGTGGGGCTCGTGGTTTTTATCCCAATTGAGGCTTGAGCTCACCTCAAGTGGGGCTTGAACTCACCCAATGTGGGACTCGAACTTAAAAACTGTGAGATCATGACTTGAGCCAAAGTAGATGCTTAATGACTGAGCCACTCAGGCGACCAAGATTTTATTTTATTTATTTATTTTTTAATGTTTTTTATTTATTTCTGAGAGACAGACAGAGAGAGAGAGAGAGAGAGAGACAGTGTGAGCAGGGGAGGGTCATAGAGAGAGGAAGATACAAAATGTGAAACAGGTCCCAGGCTCCGAACTAGCTGTCAGCACAGAGCCTGATGCAGGGCTCAAACCCACAAACCATGAGATCATGAGCTAAGCCAAAGTCAGACGCTTAACCAACTGAGCCGCCCCTCTATTTTACTTTTTAAAAATTTATTTCTTTTTTCTTTTTTCTTTTTTCTTTTTTTTAAATAATTTGTTGTCAAGTTGGTTTCCATATAACACCCAGTGCTCATCCCCACAAGTGCCCTCCTCCATGTCCATCACCCCCCTTCCTCTCTCCTCCACCTCCATCAGCCCTCAGTTTGTTCTCAGCATTCAAGAGTCTCTCATGGCTTGCCTCCCTCCCTCTCCCCAACTATTTTTCCCATAAAGTTCATTTATTTTTGAGAGAGAGAAAGAGACAGAGTGTGAGAGGGTGCAGGGCAGAGAGAGGGAGACACAGAATCTGAAACAGGCTCCAGACTCCGAGCCATCAGCACAGAGCCAGACACGAGGCTCAAACTCACAAACTTCGAGATCATGACCTGAGATGAAGTTGGACATTTAACCGACTGAGCCACTTAGGCACCCCCATCCCAAGATTTTATTTTTAAGTAATCTCTATACTCAACATGGGGCTCAAACTCACAACCCTGAGATCAAGAGTTGCATGTTCCACCTACCGAACCACCCAGGAGTCAGTGTCTCTTTTCTCTGTGTGTGTTTCTGTATCTGACTCTCTCACTCTTTTCTCTAGGGTGATTCTGGGGGCCCGCTGGTATGTGGAGACCGCCTCCGAGGTCTTGTGTCATGGGGAAATGTCCCCTGTGGATCCAAGGAGAAGCCAGGAGTCTACACAGATGTCTGCAGATATGGCCACTGGATCCGAAAAACCATTCAGGCCAACTAACCCTGACATGTCACATCCAACTCTTGACCTGTGATCCCCACCTGCTGGCTCCAGGATATCTCTGACCAAGACTTTACCCTCCCCCCACCTGCCTAGAGCCAACCCTTAATGCTTAATAAAAGCAGTGACGTGACAGCACAAATTCACCCTGATATTACCCCAGCCCCGTCCTCCCATCACTGGGGGTGAGTGGGGTGTGAGCTAAGGTCTTACCCTCACCACTAAGAGAATACAGGAAAATTCCTTCCAAGTATTTCTTCTTCCCTGGTTGTCCCATGGGCTCCACTCCTTCCTACAGAGGAGTGGTCACAAGTCTGGCAAAATTCTGCCCCTTGCTAGTCGCCTGCCCTTGGGAAGTGACTTCCTTCACTGTGTAGATTTTCTCATCTGTAAAATAAGGATAATGACAGGACATTCCTCATTGGGTGGCTGCTGTTGTTGGGAGGATTCAAGATTTCGAATGTGTGGAAAACATACAACAGTGCCTGGCATACCTGCTTGAACAATAAAGAGTGGATTTTATTATTATAATGCTTTTTGGCTTTTATCACATGTCTGCCTCTCTGAAATCCAGATATTCTTAGTTCCCTTTTGCAGCCCAGTTTGGTTTTTCCTCCCCTCCAGGAAGACATCTGTGAGTATTCCACCTGGTTCTAGCCTTCATGGTGGCTCTCTTCCCTCAATGCCTCTTATAGAAGTGAGAGCAGGGAGGGGAGAGGACTGGGAGGTCACTGTGTGTAGACGGGAGAGCAGAGCAGCACCCAGATACCAAAGGATCTAAGACCCAGATTGACAGGATTGGACTTTTTCCTGAGGGCAGTGGGGAGCCATGGAAGGCTTGTGAGCAGGGACAGCAATGGGGCCTTGTATGGGATGAACCAGAGAGAGGAGACTAGAGGCCAAGGAGGAAGTTGAAGTGATGGTGTAGGGAGAGAGGAGGGCTGAGCAGGGGCTGGGTGGTCTGGAGAAGGAGGCTGAATATGAGGTCATTTTATGGAAAGAGTTGAGTGGGTGACGTTCTCATAGAGGAGACAACCTGTAAAGGCCTGGGGGTGTGAGAGCATCAGGTGTGCCCCAGAGATGGCGAATCACCCAGGATGGGGGAGGCGGGGTTTGAGGCAGGAGAAGTGAGTGGTGTGGCTGGAAGTGTGGGTCAGTGGAAGGTAGTGTTGGCCTTGAGTGCCAGGAAGAAGCACTTGGCCTTGATCCTGAGGGCCTTGAGAAAAGGACAGGGTCAGATCTGTGCACTAGAAATATCTTGCTGTGGTCCATTTGAAGGGACAGCAATGGGCAGAGGGGAGGAGACTGTAGGTCCCCCCAGGAAATGAGGGGAGCAGACACCAGGCTTCTCCATGCTTTCTGGCTTCTCTCACCAACGTGCACCATGCATGATCCCTAATTGCTGTATACACCTCTACCCTCAAGTCCCAGACCTGTCCCTGTCCTCAGAGAAAACTTTTCTTACAACCCTTCTGCATCATCTCTGAGGAAGGCAAATCAGCCTCTAAGCCAGATGTCCTTCCATGAGGTGAGTGGGATAGGTAGGGGCTCCCAGAGAGAGAGGGAAAAGAGAGCTCTACATGGGGGCTGGACCTACAAGCAGATAGATATTTAGGAACAGAGGGAGAATCAGAGACAGCAATTCATCTATTTCAATATTTACTGCAACCTTATTTTGCCCAGCACAGCGTAAAACGAAATTGGAAGTTATTACACAGAGTAATCACGTCATAGGATATGTTCAAAGTCAATTATATGTTATTCTACAGTGAGAGAGTTATGTGTCCAAAGACAGAGGGAGTCTTTTAAAAGAACAGAAAACCTCAAGTTGCAACGGTCTTCAGATTTAGAGAAAAAGCACACTTGCATGTCTTTTTAAAAAAAAATTTTTAATGTTTTCATTTATTTTTGAGAGACAGTGTGAGCAGGGGAGGGACAGAGAGAAAGGGAGACACAGAATCTGAAGCAGGCTCCAGGCTCGGAGCTGTCAGCACAGAGCCCAATGTGGGGCTCAAACCCACAAGCTATGAGACCGTGACCTACGAGCTGTGAAACCATGACCTGAGCCGAAGTCGGATGCTTAACCGACTGAGCCACCCAGGCGCCCCTCACACTTGCATGTCTTAAAAACCAAAGCCACGTGAAAGTTGGTCAAGTCACATGATGGGAGGGAGTGGCTCATTTTTATGTGTACATGGAAATATTAAATTATGTGAATGGTCTGGGCCCGCCCTGGCCAATCCCTTCCAAAGGTTATAAATGACAAACAGGGCCATGAAATGCACTGGAGTCACCAGGAGGAACCAGCCAATGGGTGTCCGGAAGAACAAAATCAACTTCAGTTAATTGAGAGAGAATTCTCTTCCTTTTTTTTTTTTAATGTTTATTTATTTATTTTGAGACAGAGAACACAAGCAGGGGAGGGGCAGAGAGAGGAAGAGAATCTCAAGCAGACTCCACACTCAATGCAAAGCCTGATGAAGGGCTCGATCTCACAAACCATGAGAAATCCGCTGAGCTCAAGTCTTGGACACTTAACTGACTGAGCTACTCAGACGTCCTGAAAATTATTTTCTTTAATGGATACTACTAGTAATAAACATTTACTTAGCACATCCCAAGCACTGGTCTAAGGACTTCATATATTAACTCACTTAATCTTCATAGCAAGCCCATGAGCTAAGTACCATTATCGATCTGATTTTACAGATAGAGAAACTGAGACAGAGAGGCTCCATGATTTACCCAAAGTCTCACAGACAGTAGATGGACAAGCCAGAATTTGACTTCCAGAGGGTTGGTGCCAGAGTTTCAGTCTTTGTTCTGCTGCAAGTAGTCTCCTTCCAATCCTGGTATGTTTTCAAGTTGAGCATGGGCGTGTTTAGAGGCTTAACACGAATCTTTTTTTGAAGCAGAATCTTTGCATGTTAAGGTGCTTGTACATCTAAGAGAATTTTGCCTGTTATAGAGACAATCTTCTGACTTCAGCTTGAAATATGCCATTGGTCTCTGGGTTTTTAAAATTTTTTTCTAATGTTTATTTTTGAGAAAGAGAGAGAGTGGGGGGGAGGGGCAGAGAGAGGAAGACACAGGATCTGAAGTAGGCTCCAGGCTCTGAGCTGTCAGCACAGAGCCCAGTGCAGAGCTCAAACTCGAGAATGGCAAGATCATGACCTGAGCCAAAGTCAGATGCTTAATCGACTGAGCCACCCAGGCACCCCTGTCTGTGGTTTTTAAGTTGGAGTCATACCAAATTTATGTCCAATGTTGGAAGACTTGAGAGACTATAATGTTGATCATAGGTACAAGTGTGATCTACACAGGTGTATAAATTTACTTAAATGCCTGTCTAAAATTTAAAGGGCTTCCAGAAGAGATTGAATGTGTTGGTTTTAGAAATGTAGTTTAAAATGTTTGAAGGGGCACCTGGGTGGCTCAGTCGGTTAAACGTCTGGCTTCGGCTCAAGTCATGATCTCATGGTTCCTGGGTTCGAGCCCCACATCGGGCTCTGTGCAGACAGCTCAGAGCCTGGAGCCTGCTTCAGATTCTGTGTCTCCCTCTCTCTCTGACCCTCCCCTGCTCATGCTGTCTTTCTCTCTCTCTCAGAAATAAATAAAGGGGCGCCTGGGTGGCTTAGTCGGTTGAGCGTCTGACTTTCGCTTGGGTCATGATCTCGCGGTTCGTGGGTTTGAGCCCCGCGTCGGGCTCTGTGCTGACTGTCGGCTCAGAGCCTGGAGTCTGTTTCGGAGTCTGTGTCTCTCTCTCTCTGACCCTCCCCTGCTCACGCTGTCTCTCTCTATTTCTCCTAGAAATAAATAAAAAAATGTTAAAAAAAAGAAATAAATAAAAAACATTAAAAATTTTTTTAAAAAAATAAAGGCAGATCTAGAATTAAAAGGGTTGTAAGACAGCCTTGAAATATTAAAGAAATTCAATATTAAAATATTGAAATATTAAGAAAGAAGCAGTTTGCTGGATTTGTCACTCTAATACATGCCATATAAATTGCAATAATCAAAATAAACTTCAGAATAGTTTCTTTCTCCCTATAGACTGAAAGCAACCTCAAGGTCTCTGAAGCCTCTGGCTCACAGGGGCAGACTCACAGACGTGAGCCGTACAGTTTAGTATTACCCTCAAGGAATGCGAGTTCCAAAAGGGACCATCTCCAGAGCTCCTTGTCCACTTAGCTCACCCCAGTCTGGCACACAGTGGGTGCCCAGGAAGGAGCTGTTGAGTGAGTGCTTGGCTCTCACATCCCAGTGGGTCAGAGACTTGGAGACGATGTTAGAGGCAGATGCAGAGAGTTGGGGCCAGGCAGAAAGAAGAGACCAAATGGAGAAAAGATCAGGAAAGACAAGCCCAGATGACCCAGGACTGGTGATAGAGAAGCCACTTCTTGGGCTCCCCACCCAGTGCCCCATTTCCTACAGGGCCAGGAGCCACCCACCCCTTCTCCTGGCCTCTTTTCCCATCAACAGGTGGCCCTGCCCAACCTTCTCACCCACGCCTGGCTGTGCCAGCCCAGCCTAGGCCTCTGCAGGTCCCCCCCCCACCGCCGACTGGATCCCTGCCCTTTTCTGCCCTGTGGCCCCCCCCCAGGGTGAGGGGCAGGAGGAGGGATGAGGGATCTCTTACAAAGTGGCTTCCAAAATGCAAGGTGAGGGAGGCAGAGGGACAGAAAGACACAGAGATACAGATACTTAGAGCCATTGACAGAGAGACAGACAGAGAAGGAGAGACGGAGGGACAGAATGATGTAGGCACAAGACAGAAACAGGGAGATTAAGAAGGATAGAATCAGAGAGCAAAGAGAGATATCCAAGAAGGAAGGATACATAGAGAGACCCTGAGGTGTAGAGGGACAGAGACGGAGAATCACAGGCACATAAAGGGATAGGAGGAAACTAAGGGGGTGATGGACTTGCTCACTGTCTGCGGTGACGGTTGGGTATATATGTGTCAAAACTCATCAAATCATACACATTAAATATACACAGTTTATTGTACTCAGATTATACCTCAAAGCTGTAAAAAAAAAAAAAGCAAAACAGAAGTAAAGGAAACAGGTGACAATTCTGGGGGCACCTGGTGGTTCAGTTGATTGAGCAACAGACTCTCGATTTCGTCTCAGGTCATGATCTTACAATCCTGAGATTGAGCCCCAAGTCTGGCTCCTAGCTGAGTGTGTTTGGGGTTTTCTCTCTCTCTGTCTCTCTCTCTCTCTCCCTTTGCCCCTTCCCTGCTCTCTCTCTCTCTCAAAATAAATAAACTTTAAAAATATATAAGATAAGAAGTTAAAAAAATTTTTTTAATGTTTTATTTCTTTCTGAGAGAGAGAGAGAGACAGCGTGAGCAGGGGAGGGTCAGAGAGAGAGGGAGACACAGAATCTGAAGCAGGCTCCAGGCTCTGAGCTGTCAGCACAGAGCCCAACGCGGGGCTCGAACCCACGAACCGTGAGATCATGACCTGAGCCAAAGTCAGACACTTAGCCGACTGAGCCACCCAGGTGTCCCCTATAAGATAAGA